ACTTTATCAGGTCTTTTTTCAAATACTATCAAAAAAAAAAATAAATATATAAAAAAATACTATAATCCTATCACAAATTAAGATAACACAGATATTCATAATAATATCATATTCTATGTATATTTAATCTATTTCGGTGATGCTATATCACGGATAATAGATATACGGTCGAAGCATTGTGTTGTTTGGGGGGCGTGGTTTCAAAGAGCGTGACGTCAGAATAGACCTCCGCAATCCAGCCGCTAGCCCGCTAATGCAGTAATGCGCCAAAACTCTATCATTGTTTAGTGTTTACCAACTATTTTTTTTTTTTTAACATTGTTTCCGTCTACTTGTCGACTTATTGCAAAGAAGAATAAAACAATTAATTGAACGTTAAAGTAAGTAATTGTACAATATTAGAATATTAGTTGTTACAAATTACAATGTACTGTAGAAGTTTAAATAATAAATCTATAATCTATCTTTGAAGTTATTACTTACATTTATAATTACTTTACATATCTATGTAAACTGTAAAGAATTATATTATAGTAATTTATGGATCAATCTTGTTTTTAAATATGTGTTAATTATTATACTTGCACATTAAGTAATAAGGTTCCTGAATTGATACCTATATAAATTATTAAAAAATAAAATGTTAACAATTAATAAATTACTGATAATTATATTGTTAATTAGATGCCAGGAACTAGATGTGCTGTTGCTGTTTGCTCAAATAGTTTACAGGAAACAAAAAAAAAAAATTCTAACATATCTTATCATACATTTCCAAAAGATCAAAAACTATGCCATGTTTGGATTAATGCCTGCCGTAGAAAAGATAAGTGGAATCATAAGACCAGTACAATTTGTAGTGTACATTTTTTGGAAAACGATTTTGAAGTTGATTTGAGAAGCCAATTAATGAACATCAAAATAAAAAGAAAATTAAAACAAAATGGTATCAATTATTTATTATAATATTTTATTTCTTTACAATTATTAACCTTAATTTAATTTTTTTTTTTTTGTTTAGCTATTCCAACACAACATTTAAAAGAGAAATATTTACCAAATGTGTTAACTAATACATTATCATCTAGACAAGTACGTGCAAATATGCGTGAAAATGCAACTATTGTTCAAAGTTTAATGTTACCAACTCAAGAGAATAAAGATATAGCAAAAGAAGATGAAGATAAAGTACACGAAGAGTTGCCTACTTTAATTAATGAATCAATTGAACATAAGTACCAACAATTACTTAACGACCATGACAAATTGAAAACAAAGTATAAACATTTATCTCAATTCAATAGATTTCAAAAAAATCGTATTAATACTTTGAACAAAAAATGTAATATTCTTTCTCAAAAATTTGGGGAACAAGCTTCGCAAACTCATATCTTAAATGAATCTTTAAAAATAGTGTTCAGTCAAACACAATTACAATTAATAACTAAAAAGAAAAAAAAAGTGATTTGGAGCACAGAAGATATTTCAAAAGCTTTTACATTACGATATCTTAGTAAAAGGTGTTACATTTATCTAAGAAACAAATTGAACTATCCATTGCCACATGTATCAACTTTAGTTAAATGGGCTTCCAGATTAAATTTCCGTCAGGGTATTTTGGTTGACGTTATTAGAATAATGAAAATAGCAGCGCTAAATTTAAATAGTATTGAATTATTGTGTATTATTCAATTTGATGAAATGAAGATATTATCAGCTTATGAGTATGATAAAAAAAACGATCAAGTCATAGGGCCCCACAGTCAAATGCAAGTAATCATGGTGAGAGGCATCTTTAAGAATTGGAAACAACCAATATATGTCAATTTTGATCAATTAATTACACCGGAAATTCTGTCTGAAGCTATATCTATTTTATATGAAAATTCATATAATGTGGTTGCCTGTGTATCTGATTGTGGTGGTGGTAATGTTGGGTTATGGAAGAAGTTGGGTATAACTATTGACAAAACATATTTTCTACATCCTAACACAAAAGAAAAAAATTTATTTTTTGGCAGATGCCCCACATCTTCTTAAACTAATTCGAAATTGGCTTTTAGACACAGGATTTATTCTTTCAGACGGTTGTATGATAAATGCAACACCATTAAAAGAGTTACTTAAAGTAACTAATACAGAAATTTCAGTTTGTCATAGATTATCACAGAAACATTTGGAATGTGTAAAGGCCGAGAGACAAAATGTCGGATTAGCCGCACAATTACTCTCCCATAGTGTTGCTACAGCTTTGATCCATTATAAACCAGGTTTAAATCAGGTATTATCGGAAAATACTGGTCACTTTATTGAAGTTGTAAGTAACTGGTTTGACATAATGAATTCGTATACACCATCTGAAACTTTGTGCACCAAAAAGCCTTATGGCTTAAATTTAGAAGACCAGAATAATTGTTTGGATAAAATGTATAAGGTAATATATTCAATGAGATGTGCAGGCAAAAATACTTTACAAACATTTCAAAAAGGAATTTTGATTTCCATAAAATCTACTCAATTACTTTTTGAAGATTTGAAAGATAAATATAATATATCTTATATAGTCACTCACAGACTTAATCAAGATAGTCTTGAAAGTTTTTTTTCTTTAATTAGAAGTCGGGGAGGACTTAATGACCACCCTACTCCCCTAAATGCAATGTACAGAATTAGAATAATTGTGCTCGGTAAAAACCCGGGGGTAGTACAGGACAAACTTAATATTGAAACACCACAGGAAAAATTAAATTTGGAAGAATATTTGGTAGCAAATGTAATGGCAACTGCAGATGTTAACATCCCTTTCAATAACGAAGAAAATGATTTATCTGATAGCAGTTTGTCATCATCTGAATCATCATCAACACAAAATAATCTTCCAACAACTAATGAAGAAGATGGTTTTATTTATTTGTGTGGTTGGCTTGCCCGTAAATTCAAAAACAAATATCCCCACTTGGGTTGTTATACCAAAGACAAAAAACCAGATCATTCATATAGCGCACCAAGTTGGGTTCAACATCTGTCATTTGGTGGTTTAACTGAACCGTCTACGGATTGGGTTAAGCAAGCTAAAGTTTTTGAAACCCTCTTTAAAAAGTTTCACAAAGAAAAAATTGATACCGAATCAAATATTGTTAAAAGATTAACTAAATTAATAAAAAAAAAAATGTGATGTGCCTGAAGATTTAATTAAAGCGTTTATTCTCCAAAGGACTTACATTAGAATTAAACTGCTGAATGATAATCTTATAGCTGAAAGATCTGAAGGTAAAAAAAACATCAAGCACAGATAGAAAATCAACTAAAAAAATGAAAAAAATAATAACTTAAATATTGTATGGGATTGTAATATTAAAAAAATAGTATTTAAACCTTATTATAATATTTTTTTACTTATATTAATTGTTCCTGATTCTTAATTAATTAATGTAAATGTGTAAATATGATAATATATATATAATTTAAATATGATGTAAATAGGTATTTATTATACTTTTATTTGTGTAAAAATTATTAATTGGTTATATATATTGTATTTGTAAGATTAAAGTTTGAACTTGTAAATTCTTATCTTATTTTTTGCATAATTTGTTTCAAATACATTATTATTATTAAATGTTTGTATTATAAATTTATGTTAATGTATTTATGTAAAATAAAATTCACAAAGCTAAATAAATTCAGTTAATTTTAAATATATCAGTCTCTTAAATCACTCAATACTATTCATTGATATCCATAATATTTTATATGTTAAAATACGTAATTAAAATATGGTAAACAGAATAACAATCTTAAGAACCCCAGGAAATAATTCGCGATCTTAGAAAAAAAATCTCCAGAACTACAATATTACTCCTTAAGTTATTACTACATAAAAATGATTGAACAATTATTTTTTGAATGTTAATTAGTGTAATTAACTCATTATTTATTTAATTAATTACAAATATTACTCATAGTATAGGTATACTTTTCATTAAAAAAATAAAAACCAAGTTGGTATTAAAGAAACATTAAATTAAAAATCAATTTAAGTTCAAAGATGAAAATATATATTAAATACGCTTGTCGTCCGTAGTATTGCCGTGCAGCCGCGAGAATTTAGGTCTATTGTGACGTCATATAACAATAATCGTTTTTAATTGGCTAGCGGTGTTTGGCTTCGACCGTATATCTATTATCCGTGATGCTATATAAGTATTTATATTGCGATAGCTCGTAAATAATTCATGAAATGATTGTAGTTTTGTAGGAAGTAGTAAATACTAAATAGTAATACGATTCATAAGCACTGTTTGTAATCGTACTATTTAATATTTAATTATAGAAAGTATTGATAACAGATAAATTAATGCATGGTGTGAAGACAAGTGTGAATCGTATGGTAACTATGGTCTAACCTTTCCAACAATTCAAACAACTATATTGTCAACAGCTAGAGCTCTGCAGTGGTCGTGGTGGCCGTGTGTACAACTGTACAATTCTGGAGAGCAGACCAATTATTTGTCTATATAATATTAATAATATTATGTTATTCTTATTTGGAATTTTGGACTACACAAACCATAAAACTATTTTTAAAGAAGTAATATCGTCGAATAAATAATAAATATTCTATGCTGTACATATAATATTATCATTTATCAACCAAGCAAACTTTGAACCATTAATGGATTCGATTGAATAGAAGAAAAGAAATGTATCTATAATCTATAACAGATTATAAAGCATTACTCATCAGTCGTTAGTATTGACTCTTATCAGTCTAATCTCATTACCTATTTTATCTACTCTGGGATTGTTTTTTCTTTTCAATGATTTTAATTAAAATACAAAGTGTATAAATAATTTAATAAATATATAAAAGAAGATTTTTTATGTTTTATGATAAATCCACTTTTGCTATAAATAATAATAATAATGTAATTTATTTAATTTATTAGCTTTTATTGTTGTCTAATATTATCTAATATAATTAGATAACAAGTTTGCTTACAATACGAAGTCTCTCATTATCATTGAAAAAGAATACCAAGTAATAATCATAGAAAAGAAGATCAAAACAGCAACCTGTAACTTTTTTGGTGTGAATCCCAGAGGCACGCCCGTTAATAGATACGATAATATAACAAAAATAAATCACTATTAATGTTTATACATTATTGAGTATTGTAACTCTTTACGATAACGAAATTTTAAATTAGTGATTCAGTAAACTTATTGTTATATTTATAAAATGTTTTATTCGCGTTATCATCAAGATTGAATAAATAATTTTTTTTTTTTAAATATCGTCTGTTCTCTGTTGATTAATAGTTTTGCGTGAAAAGATTTTTGTGTTTCCTTTAACGATTGAAAATATGATTTTCTTTAATAATTTGTTGTCAATTCTTGCATTAGTCACAGTTATTATAAACTTGAGTAAGTGTCGTCTGTAAACGTGTATATTGTACATAATTGAGTTTATCTTTTTAAAGTAATATTGACTGATAGATGTATTGATATGTTGGTATTTTAAATTATTTAGCATGAATTAAATGGATAAGTTGATGTGGCTTTTATTTAATTCTTAGACATTTTATCCACTAATGTAGTATTTACTAATAATTAATAAGTAAGATTTGTTTTGTATTATAAATTAAATTAAATTTTAATAACATTTTTTTTTTGTTTTTTAATTAATAATTTGCAGTTCATTCATGTATTATTTTAAATTTTAGTGAAAAAATACCAACTTTAGTATCCAATAAAAAACTATGATACTTATAATGTATTATTATTTAAGAGAAATTGTATTAATTATACTGTTCACAGGGTTTGTTAATATAATTTCAATTCTTTCTAAACTCCATTGACATACTTTCCACTATAAAAATTATATTTTTATATTGTAATTTGTTTCTATAATTTATCATTATAGCATAAGTGCCATAACTGTTAAAATTTAAGTTATTTTACCTTCGTCATTAAATATGATATTCAAATATATAGGTATATTAAGTATAATTAAACAACTTTCTATATAACAATCATGAAAGGAATTTCATTACTCATTTTTTTTTCTTTAAATAATGGGCTGAATTTTGTTGTTCATAAGCAGTAAACTTTTAAATACAAACCCAGTCATTCATTGCAATAATGTCTATATATCATTGGAATGCAAACAAGTACGGTTGATTTGGTCTTAGCTCCATCTGAGTCTTTTATTTTTATGTGTAGGTAGGTTAAACTTGGTACCTAGGAAAGTAATAAGACCGTTTAGTCGTAGAAAGTTTATAACAAAATAAAACAAAATCATAAATATTTACACAACTAAAGATATACTGATTGCCCATAGGCATAATTTTTTTCTTGTTTGACCCTGATTAGTATGAGGGTGAATGATAAGATTAAATTTATCCATACCCGACTCAGAAGTCTGCTAGCGCTTAAGCTTTATATGTATTAATAAGATTAGAGTGTAGGAAAATCTAGCACTATCCTTTTTTTCTAATTGAGACCCTGCATCATTTTATATCTTGTTCCAAAAATCTACTTGTGATTTCATTTATTGTTTGAGTTAGTCCAACAGGATATTAAATTTTGTTAGTATTAGGTGCAATCTGTTCTGTAAACTATATTGTAAATGTCTAACAGATGGTTAAATAAACAATTTTCATAATACAATACCTAAAATTTTAATATTACAATCAACTTCATATAGGTCAAAATTCATTATGTATCTCATTCAATTATTTAATAAAATAATTAAATATTTTTAATGATTTTACTCTCAATTTTTTTTTTTTTAGCTAATTAAATATAATTGTTTTACATTTTTAAATTTAAAATAAAAATTTTTGTGGGCTTATTCAATTTTATATGCTGAAATTAAAGTTTTTTTAAAAAAAATGTAATAACTTAATAGTATATGCTAAATAAACTTGATTGGTTTTAGGCAGTTTAACTAACTTTTATTGTGTTATAGGCGAGTCCTTGGAATGTTATGTTTGTACAAATCAAGATCAAAATCATGAAAAATGTTTGAACACTATTAAGACATGCGAACCGGAAGAAGATATGTGTTTATCAGAAATCAGTTGGGGATGTAAGAATATATTTTATAGTTTATAATCATATTGACTTTAATTTCATAAAGAATTTATTATTGCAGCTCCTCCATATTGGGTAGAAGGAGGAATCAAACAATATTATGTATCAAAGAGATGTGCTACAAGAGCCACATGTGATGCTGTAAAAACTAAAACAATGCCCTATTGCACATACTTATGGTATCAAGATTGGAAATGTGCAGAATGTTGTTTAGGCGACCGTTGTAATTTCTACATAACAGTAAGAAATTTCATAAAATTTATATATTAATAAAATTTTTAATAAACTAAAATACTTATATTTTTTGGTATTACAGATGGGCAGTAGTGCAATAAAATCCAATTTGATTGTATTATTGGGATGCATCGCCATATTGATTGGATTCCATGTTACCAAAACCATATAGTTTACTCCAAAGAATTATTCATCAGCCTTAAGGAGACATTTTTATATAATAACATTATTTTTTTGTCATTATTTTAATACTAATGAAAAGAATTTACTATAAGTCACTTAGATTTTAGTCTCTTTTTTTAATTATAAGCTTTTATATAAGTTTATACTTAAAATATCAACAGTATTATTTTTAATTATAAGTGAAAAGTTCCGTCCAAGTATCAATTTGTTGATACAAACTTGTTTTATTTACGTCCCAAATATTGTATATTGTAATCTTTTATACCTAGAATTTAAAATATTTTTTGTATGAACATGTAAATGATTAATGTAAAATTAAATAATTTATATTTTTTTGGAACATTTTTTATATTCTTTCATGCATTGGTTTTTATAATAATATAAGTTTATAAAATATATTTAAATTGCCATATTTTATTTCTGTATTTAATTTTATTTTTGATAAAATGTCATAAGCAATTTCTCAAAATCTTCATTTAAATTAAAAGTATTCTTTAATATTATGCAAAGTATAGGCTTTAGTTTGTAAGTTTATAAATGTAGTGCTTATATTAACTGGTTAACTCAACAAATTGTAAATCATAAAAATTATGGTAGATTGCTTATGACATAATTATCTAAATTTCACTATGTCATAACATTCTTTATAAACCCTAAAAATCTTAAGAAAACAATAAATTTATTAGAAATTAACATTAATACTATGAAAAAATGACTGATACAATAAAACAAGGTACTATTATAAATTCTTTAATAGCAATAATAAAAAAATATACTGATTTAATTTATTAAAATGTAAAGCATATACATCTAATGTCTAAATTTGTGATTTAAAGTTTCAATCATAATTTAATAATATTAACACCTGTTTTAGTGGGTTAAAATTTAACATTTTTAAACTAAATTCAACATCACTAGTATGACATACCTAGTAATCATAAATTTCACAAATATTCATTAGTGATAAGCCATAATTAATTAAATTTATCAGAAGTACATAAGTACCTTTATTGGAAGTTTAATGTTTACTCTTGCATTTACTTTTTTAATATAAATGTTTCCCATCAAACATGGCTGTCATAAAGAAATTACCGTCTTAGGATCTTATTGCAAAAGTTATTATATAAGTAATTATTAATTATACTTAAACAATAAAGATAATTTTGTTTGGAAGTACAATTCTCTTTAAAAAACCAAAAATAAAAAGTTAAGTGTGATTTTAAGTGTTTTCTAATTTCCATATTTGAGAATACAGTAGACCTAGATTATCTAAACCTAAAATACAAATCTTCTACTAACCAAACATCAATATACATTAATCAATGTCTCTGAAAGTATTGATTGGTATAAAAATTTTATCATTTTTGTCAAAACTTAATATTAACATATTACATACTATACACATATTAAATAAAAAATTACATAAACTATATTTTAATATTCCTAATATCTAAATAAGGTGAGATACTATTTGTTTTTGGAAAATAAAAGTTTTACTGTAGTTTGTTGAGATGGTTTTAGATTGGTTTTCTAATAATTCACTATTATTATTGGAATATATCATTATAAATTCTGTAATTAATAATAAATTAAATGTACTCTTGCCATCGTTCAGTTTTTGCAAATTTTCTCTTAGTTTCCATCAACCAATGGTTTCATTAAAAAAAAAAAAAAAAAATGATTTATAATGTTTACGATTAAATTATAAGATTTATGACTAATACTTTATATTTTATATGAGCTGAGTGGAAATATCTCTGTCTAATGTCTGATCCTATATGGAAATTATTTAAGTATGTTAATGGTACAATACACCTGTTATATGATAATAGAAGCAAAAGTAAACAAGTTATATAAAAAAAATTTCTATATTAATTATATACAGTTTATATATCACGAATGTTAATTAAAATGACCATGTACAACATCAATTTTACGATTACAATTGCAAATTAAAAAAAAAATTGATTAAAATTACAATATACAACAAAATTATATACAAGAGTCTAAAATTGTACAACATTCATTTTGGTGCAATTTACATCTTATATACATTCATTATTATGTTAATTTATCAAGTTCAATCGATACAAATACACATTATGATTTAATGATTAATTGCACCTCAATATTTTTATTATTAAATTTATACAGAGTATTTTCTATGAAGGAAAAAAATAAGCGTAACAGTCACAACTTCACTTGAATCAATATCTAAAGTGAATTATCTTTTTTATGAAAAAAAAACATAAAAAAAGACCATCAGAATTTAAAATTAACATTTTCTCTTAAAAACTATTTTAAATTATCTTTTGTTATTAGGTACTTTTAACATCAGCTATTATTTAAGTCGATAATGGTAACAGCCTATATCTAATTTTATTACAGATTTTTATAATACATAATAAGTATGTATAAATATACAAAAAAAAAATTACGTAGGACATTTATGAAATTGTACGTAGAAATTTAACAACATTTATTAAATAATCAATGTGATCCACAAAGAAAATAAAAATTTTAATTAATACCATAAAAAGTTAAATATTGTTATTCTTTGACATACAATTGAAAACAATAATTTTCTTTTTGAAACAATTTTTATAAAGGTTAAAAAATGCTCAAAATTAGTCTGTAAATGGTAAAAAAGAAAAAAAACAATAAGTAATGTGTACTAAAACCCAAATAAAATAATTTATCTAAAATCATATTTGTTTAAGTTGTGCGTGGTGTATGTGAATTAGGTGACGAAGGTATGGTCAGTACAGTAGGTTGCTGTTGTTGAGGAGCCATAGATACAGCAACTATAGAACCAGTTTGGCCTGATGAGCTTTGTACACGTAACTGACCTTGACGTACAGACATTTGCTGACCTTGTTGAAATACAACCTGCAAAAAAATCTTTTTTTAAAATTTATAAATGCAAAAAATACTTAAAAAAATATTATAAACTTTTTTTTACATAATTTTAATTTATAATATAAAATTTTAACAAAACAAATTAAATTATTTACTGTTTTGAAAGACCCATAGAGTATTTAATCCTATTTTATAATGCAATGTAAAATATATATAAATCTAGATATAAATATGAAATTTATATTTTGAGTTGTCATAAAAAAATGTAATATTAAGTTGAAAAATTAAAATGATAAAAAATGCATTTTCATAAACATTTATATAATTTTTTATAATCATTATTTATGTTTCAAACAATAAACACTGAATTTTCAAACCTGAGATAGTATGTTAGAAGAATGGCCAGGATTTCCAGTAGTTTTAAATACATTAGTCAAAGAACATGGTTGTAATGTTGAACGAGCTGTTTCAATTCCAACACCTGATGTTCTTAATGTTTGAACTGGATTAACCACCTAAAAATAAGAATACTTAGAAGTCAGAAAATAATAAAATTTATTAAAAGGAAAAATAAATTAGTTTTCCAGCAGCAAATTTATTGTAATCAGCTTAACTCATTTTTAGATGTAAACCAACATTTTGTGAATATTTCTAAATGCTGTTTATTTATAATTTGTTGTAATATAAGCAATTTAGAATATTCGTAAATAATTAAGAAGTTCAATAATTGTTAAATAATACGTTTATAATAGGTAATTTTGGTTCAAAAATTAAGATAAAAATATGAAATTAGAAAATCTTATCAGAAAAATTTCTGTAGTATTAAAAAATAGTTAATATTTAAAAAATAAATTGTATTAAAATTTATTAAGCATTTTTTAAATAACAATGACATAAACAAGCACCCATTGATAAAGCAAGCACCAGTAACATAATATATCATAATTGTGTTAATGTTGCAATATTAACATTTTAATCTATAACAGTAATTATAATACCTGAATTGCTTGTTTTAATGAAGTTTGGGTTGTAACTACTGGTAGTACTCTAGTTAGTCCAATACCCGAAGACTGTCCATGACTTTTTGCAATAACATGGGATATGACTTGACCTGCATTTGAATTTGATTGCATTGCAGTTATATTAGCACCAGACACCTATAAATAAGTATAAAATTGTAAATTATGCAATAAATAAAAATCAATTTTATAACAGCAATGCATGAAATCAAATATAGTATCAACAAATAATAATGAATATGGTTGTAAAAATGCATAAAAAATATCAATTTTTTGATGAAAAATTAAATTAAGCTTTAATAGTAAAAAATTATTGTTTTAATTAGCTAAACAAACTCCCGCTCTTTAAATGTATTAAGAGGATGTTATACCTGCATATGTTGTCTCTGTCTTAGAAACCTATCAGTAATTTAAGACCAATTAAACTAGTGTTAAACTGAACAACTCTTGTGTTATTAGTCTTAGTCCTTTAACATTCATCTATCTTCTTTTGAAGATTGAGATTAATAATATTTCTATGTTTAAGCAAGAGATGAATAGGTAATATATTTCAATATAAAAACAACAATTATAATTCATTTAAAAATTAAAGTATTGCGAAAAAAACAAACCTACAAACACATATAATATTCTCACCTTAAAGTTTAATAAAAGATGTGATTTCACTCTAACACAACATTGGTTCTGATGAACACACAAAGAAAGAAACCCGATATAATATTTAGCCAAAATACTGTGAGTACATAACTCTTTATACACTGGGTGTTTTGAGCATTAAGTAAATTGTGTTTCATATATGAATTGAGTCCCAAATTATATTTTACTAATACAAAAATTAAGTCTCAGTTGTACTTATTTATTATGTAAATTAAGTCCTAATTGTATTTTTATAGCATGTGAATTGATTCCCAGTATTATTAAACTACTATGAGAATTGAGTCCCAATTTTATTTAACAATGCATTGGCGGCGCGTGAACAATTTTATAGGGTAGACAAGTAATGAAATGCTGTTACATATATATATGTGTGTATTTTTGTTAAAAGTAGATCATCATTAAAAAAAATATATAAAAAAATAAATTGCATAAAATTACTATATTTGAATATAATTTAACTCAAGTCATTGATTTTGTTTTGTAGCAAACGCATCTATCATCTGTTTATAAATGTTAGATTTTTTGATAATTTATCTACCAATTTTTTTCAATAGCATAAGTAGACAAAGATGAAAGCCTATCATTTATCATTGAATTTAAAAATAATAAACATTACACATGTGAATAAGGTCCTAAACCATAGTTGGAATGCAATTAAATTATTAAAATGTGATGTTGAGACATGTCTCTTCCATACATATAATTTTAGTAATATATACATCACTTATT